AAGTAACCGGGATAAACAAACTAAAATTAAGGAAAAAACTGGAAATTTAACGCACAATCAGTTTTCGACAAAATCGATTTTAGGTTTGGTGTAACTTTAAAAAAAAGTAATCTACTGTACAGCAGAGCGACATCCACTTTCCTGCTTTTTATCGTTGTCGTGTTAAAACTTTTTTGAAAGACACAATAGATTTTGGATTATCGGTGGAGCGATGAATGTATTGAGTTTACAATGATGTTCCTATGTCTTTTTTGTGTGCGTATGTAGGTCCACAATTATAAAAGAAAAGTCTTCGATGTTCACATTTGGGTGTGGTTTCTTGTACCCAGTGCCAGCCCAAGATACGGGTGAACCCTCGACAAAAAAGTCCATTGGGCTTAAGGCAAAAGGATTATGTAATTGCATATTAATCGAGTAGTTACTAAATCTAAGTGTTATTCTTAGGCGTTATCCTCGATAAGAAACTTAATTGGTGGCCTCATCTATCGGCTAAACTCCRGCAAACATACCAACGACTAGAGGTTCTCTTTCCAATTTTMAATAGGAAATCAACTATTTAAAAAAAATGTTCACTTATTATATATAAGCAAGTTCTGAGACCTTTACTTTTATACGAAAGTCCTATATGGGACAGTTGTGCTAAAAGCCACTCAAATAAAATTCAAATTTATCAAAACAAAATACTCCGCATAATAACAGATGCTCCCTAGTTTGTACGCAACAAAGGTTTGCATAATGACTTGAAAATCCCTACTATCRATGAGCACATAAACCATATAGCAAACAGATTATTTCACTCACTTACGAACTCAAATGGTGCTGTTCACTATAACTTACACGAAATCCCTCCAAWAATACGTCGTCTCAAGAGAGGAAAACCCCACGACCGCAGAAAATGACATCTACCACTAATTACCGCAATATCGAATGCATCATGCCAGAAAATTACTAGCTTAAACCTACTACTTAATATTTAAYATTTAATTATTATATCGCAATTATGTATGAAAGAAAAATTGTTAAAAAAAAACTGTAAAAATTGTTTATATCAGTAGGTTTTGATAGCTATTCTAGCTAGGAATGTCTTAATTAAAATAATAAAAAAGTGTTAATTATATTTTTGTTTAGAGGTTGGCGACTGTAATGAACTGGATGATATTTGGTATTGATTGAGTGTGATGCTTAGTTGATTAGCCGTAACAAATATTATAATGATACTTAATTTTCGATTWTGAACATTTCCAACAAACTTAGTTGAAAAACTAGACGTTATTTTATAGTGTGAGAGGATGACATTTGAGTCCTACAATTTTTAATATTAGGTAATTTTATTTATTGTGGTTACCATAAGCTGTTGGCTGTTTAAATGATCAAATCGTGTGTGTATAATAATTATAATGTGTATATATAAATACATTATATATAATGCGTATAATATAACTGTAGAACTGATATTGTATTATAATACTGATCATGTTTTATAATATAAAATTTTTATAACTTCTCCGTAAAACGTCAAGCTATAAAAATCACCTAGTCGAATTTGTAAAAATTTAATTTTAGGGGTCT